ATGAAATACTTATTTGTGCATCATGAAGTCTTCCATTCCTTATCCATATTTACTTGTCTCATTTGTCTCAGAAAAATTGTTGAATTGATTAAAAACAACATACTGACATCTCAAACTTGAGCTAGGCCTTTTAATACACTTCCCTCCAGGGAACTATACATATATATTTATGATTAGTAAATGGAAAATGTTATATCACCTTATAACATAACGGTATTAAAAACTTTTGGATGACTTGCGAAAGCGTATAATAGAGGTTTAATGAAGATTGCGAACAAAATTATGTGGGAGACGAGGGCACTAAACATTTCAAAAGCTTCAAATTCCCTTGAGATGTTTTATTTCAGTATTATTATTAAATAAAATAGAAACATTTCATTATATTCCACGAAATTGTGACATTTATTTCACAAGGGTTATATTTTTCACAGTACTCTAATGTAATACACACATACTGTATACGACGAATTTCAACATCTTAGAAAATGCAAGTCGAGATGAAATATTTCAAATGGGAAATGATAGATATAAAATCCACATTATGTGATATGGTGCTAAATACTCTACCTTCACTAGTTGATGGTAATTTAACAAAAGATTTCCGCTAGTTGGGAAAAAAAGAAAAGGATAAAAGTTTTATCTATTCAGCTTGAATGGACTTTGGAGCTTCAGTGCAAAAGAAAGGGAAGATTTCAAGAATTTTGGAAAACGAGTTATGGGAAATCATAGGGTATATTAAAGATTGTATCGATTAATCATGAAAGGACTTCTGTATTCTTGTACATCATGTCACATGTTGAAAGGCAGAAGCCATCCCTACACTTCTACCCGTGTTTTTGGCATGACCATGGGTAGATCAATTTTCAGACAAATAAAACAAATTCACGCTTCGCTATAGAAACCAATTACGGTGTAAAATATGACAGGAGATCTGTTCACGACGCCTCTCATTAAAGGATTTGATAGCTTAGACAACTATGTGCTCACTATTTAACTGCTTAGGGCATCTTACCGATGTCAATTTAGCTGCCCGCCGACGTAACTAATTTGTCACACTAGTTTGACCGATATTATTCAGGAACTCAGCAATGTAAAATCTATTTGATGAATTGAATAGACAACAGTGTTGGCAACTAAATTTGACGATCATGAAGTATTCGAATATATACTGGTGGTTTTAGTCTATACAAATCTGCACATTTTAAAGAATGAAATGTATTACTCTTGACATTAAATGGCCATTTGCCTGAAATTCCCACATTGACATCAAGCGAGTATGCGCGCTTATTCCCGACAATCCTTGGCACGCTTCAAGCAGCATCGATGCAGTCAGGAGGCGATGGTTCGTACGTAATACGTTTATACAAGAAAAAAGAACGTTATAGAAATTTAGCCTGGAAATAAAAAGATGTAAATAGTTCAACAAACCAACTAATTAATTTGGGCGCGAGAAATCCGTCGATAGCTAAAGTTAATTGGCAAATGCATTTTATAAACAATGTGTGCCATGCTTATTTAATACATAATCAGAGAAATACACATATTGGCTTAACGGTGTTTGAAAAACGGTGGATTAAAAAATCACCCCCACACTTAGGAGGAAATTGCGTGCGTGTGGTATTGTTGTCTTGCTTATGCTTAACGACCATAAACTAAGGCCTAAAACAGAATATATATAAAACATGACTACAATTCAACGACCATTATCTTAACTTCAAATATACTTTTGATATAGTTGAGGAGTGTGTTTCGACCATGCATTTACATTGACATAACATTGCTGAAACTATGAATTTAGATACAATGCATGCGAACGGACAATATTTGTTTTTACCAACTTGCTTGGCTCTACTTGAGACACTTTCCGAGTAATGTGCTCTTAAACAGAACCATATGTATGTCCATCTTTTCTGAGGCCCGTCTTCATTAGTCGAGTCGGGGCAGAACAGTAGAACGTTAAATCCCATTTCATTTCATTTATTTGAGACACTTGTTGAGTAATGTTTTCTTTAACTGAGCAATATGTATACCCATCTCGACTTGAACCACTTGCTGGGCAATGTGCTCTTAAACAGAGTCGTATATATACATATCCATTTTTGAAGCTTTTGCTGGGCAATGTGTTCTTAAACAGAACCATACTTATACGCATCTCTACCCGAGGCACTTGTTTGGCAATGTGCTCTTAAACAGGGGCATATTTATACGTATCACTTCTTAAGGCACTCGCTGAGCAATGTGTAATTAAACTGTGTCGTATTTATACATAGCGTTTCTTGAAACACTTGCTGAACAGTGTGCTCTTAAACTGTGCCATATTTATACATATCGTTTCTTTGGGTACTTGCTGAACAATGTGTTCTTAAACTGGTGTATTTATACCAACCTCGAGATAAATTAAGTCATCTTATTCGCTGTTATTATGCTAACCTCCCGTTGGAGATAATTAGAAATTTCTACCAGTTTTGACATTGTAGAACATTTCAATTCGTGGGCTTAAACACTTTTAAACCATTATCGAGAACGTCTTCAAGTGATTTTTTTATTGTCAATATTCTTACCTCATGTTCGTCAATGCAGTAAATTGGAACCGACGTTTTCGATCAAAATAATTGCTGTGTTATTTGCGTTCAATAATGGCGATTCTTTGCAAGACATTTTTATATTTGTCATGTTACTGGAATATTATTTACTGACTTCGTGGATCAATTGAAAATTAAATGGAAAGACTTGGTCTAGATATCACAATATTTATTCTAGCTTAACAAGATGTGCCCAACAATGTTGATGTTACGTGGAAAAATTAATATTATTGCGAAGAAAGCATGGAAGAGTCATTGCACAAATGATTTCTCTTGCCAAAACTGAACTTTAGAACTTTTTCTCTTTTTATCAGGTTAATAATTTCCACAAAACTCAATGTATTAATTTTGATAGGCGCAACGGATTCAAATTGGAAATAAAGACACCATCCGTTATATCGATGGGTTTAAAACCTACAAATAGGTATAATGCATCCCACATCTTCCCTATTTTAATCAAGAAATTGGGTTTTCAACCTGGGATAAGTATACAAATGTCTAAGATCATACACTTATATGATTTATAATGTAACTTTAAACTTAAAAGTGTATTACAGTGCACCCAATGGAAACTTCCAATGGAAATCACCAAAAGGATTTTCTTTTTACAAAACTTTAAAATGTGTCGCTAATCCCCTGATAATGTCTTTATTCCAATACAGATCCTCTTCAGTTATCCAAATATTTAGATATCCCAGTTCAGGTCACCGCAATATTTAATAGTTAATCCGACCCTTCTCAACATTTTATACCCATTTCAAATTTCATCTCAAACAAATTCAATTAAATGGACTCAATGATAACTCATTAATTGCCTGATTATCTTAGATTTAAGATCTATTTCACAATCACTGATATTTGCACATTATTACAACAGTGGCATGTCTCCCGCCGAGGGCAGAGTATACCTTTTATTCTCGAAACACCTGATATTATTACGAAATTTGTATTACCCCACCCCACCCACACAAACCTTTGATAGGTCTATGTAATGCATTTAACAAAGGATGTGCCGTTTTTTATACGTACTCATTCATTTAGGCCTCATTTTTATTATTAATTTTGATACTCCTCCACATATTTTAAGCACCGTACAGACAGCTTTGCTCCCAGAATATTTGTTGGAACCCCCCCCCCCCCCGCCACCTCTATTCATATACTTTTACTTGTATCAATAAAATCGTTAAATAGCATATATTTTTACATGTATCTATACAATCGTTAAAAAGCATACTCTTCTGACTTTTGATTTAGAGAGAGTAGTGGAAATAAATTACTGGCGAGTGTTGGCGAGAAGCTGTAAAGTTCCAAGCAAAATATTACTTCAACGTTGCTCCAATCGCTGAAAAAGCTTGTATTAAAATCCATTTAGTCTTGTTAGCAGCCTGTTAAGCTGTTGGAGACCAAACTTATTCTATATATTTTCTGTAAACTGATTTTTATATGGTAAAATAGTATTATCAAGCGGATTTAATATGGATCTCTTATCATTCCTAATCTAATTAATAGAGTCTTAGACTAACATGTAGCAAGCCGTTACAATCTGGTTAACGTAAACACAACCTCGGTCTCCATAAGTCACTTGGTTGCCATAGTATTAATAATGATACATAATATTGTATACGCAAATTATTGATTGCTATATTTACATCAGGATCATCCTTACGTCGACTGCTTGTAATTGGCACCCAATTAACAGTTCTTAGTACATTGGCCGAGTATCAAATGGTCAATATCTTGTAATACCACACGCTAGACTGCACGCGAACATACCCCTGAACGAGAACGCCATTTAAAGGAGCTAAATCGTTAATGTTTGGAACCTAGAAATTGACACAAATAGGACGCAACGCATATAATAAAGTAATATGAATGTATATAAACTGATTTACATTCAAACGTTTCTGTTTTTACTGTAATTTCTAATCAGTTATGTTCGGCGAAATGCGCCAAAGTCTCAATTAAATGTCAATCTTTAGTGTCTGGTTATTCCAGTTTACACCGATGGTATTTATTGCGCATGCTCTCCAGATAAGAATATAGCGTCACCATTTGACATGACTTGTGGAATATGTCTAGCTTCGTTCTTTGAGTCCCTTATTCCAAATGGCGCTGAAACGCCATATGGTACACGATTCGTGTACCAATGGTAAAATGTTTATTTTGTCTTGAATATTGGATATCAGAAGCCCATCTTTTCCCTGTAAGATCACAAGACCAATGTTGATTTGAATTGACAAATAATTCGTGTTTTCAATGTTGAAGATTTTTGATGATATTGAGTTAGAGACTTAGCTATTTTAATACATATTCCTTTACCTGGAACGACTAATTATAGTCTATAGTCAGACATATATATGCCATAAAAAATACACTTGAAATGAACAAACGTTTAATGATGTTTATCTTTTCTTTCAGAAATTAGTTCGGGAGTATGTACACCCGCGTCCATTCCGGGATTACGTGAATTCAGCTTCAATTTTCCCACAGAAAAGATTGTCACCCCCATTATGAGTGTGGATGGGTTACCATCTACGCCGCCTCCTGCTTATACTTCTAGAAGGCGAGCTTCGATGCATGATGCTATTGACTTAACCAAAATAGATGCAAGGCTTTATGAGAAAAAGGTACAGTAAAAGCAATAAACGGGATCGGGAAGATTTCGTTAGACTAATGGTCCAAATCTTGCGTTTTCAGTTTCAGGCTACTGCTGTCGTAGCCCTAGCCCAAACCAACGGTTGCATGTAACAAAATATACTCACCCAAGCTCTTGGCTTTAATACGTCCACAGTTACCGAAGATGTTTAATGTCGTCAATTCCGTCTGTCGTCAATCGGTCCAAAATTTCTTGTGAACTCGAAATGGCAAATTTTGCAGTTTTCATCCTATTTACGTTCAGATTTATGAAATCTTGTAAACGCCATATTCTCACTTGTGAACGTAATCCAGGGCAACTGGATTGTCCGAGTGGGATTGTTTATTGGAGAATATGGTGGAATCGGTGTGATTAGCGGTCATCGCTGCACCCTTCTTCATTATCACAGTCAGTGCAGAAAATTAGAGCGTTAAACCTCATTTCATTTTACCTTTGCTGCTGATGGACATATTAGGGTGTCTGACAAACTGTGTATATGTCTATATTGGTTTTGCTATTTCTCCCATTCCCACTCCTAAAGTGCGCAATGCCGATATAACAAACACCATTACTATATTCTGGAAATGCAACTGCTGAATGGACGCAAAATTTGACGTTAATCTGTAAACCGAGAAGTATTACCCGTGAATCTACCATATAGTAATGATTATTTGACGAATCTATCAAATCCAAATTTTGTTTCTTTGGTATTAATCGATTCAGTTATCATATTTTCCACTAATCAGAACCCATCACCAGAAAAAATTGCTGAAAATACCATTTTATTTTCATTTAGATACAAAATTGGTATAATGCATTATGATTCCAACTTTAATTTTCCGTATTTCTTTGAATAGGACATGAATTATTTAATTCAACAAACCACATGGCGCCAAATATTTGACAGGGTTCATTCAAAATTATCCATTTACAAACTAAAATAGCGATGACATTTTCAAAATGTCATCTCAATTAGATTTAAACACTTTTCCGTTATATCGTTTCACATTGAACTTTTGATAATTGTATTTCAAAGAGGTCGAGATTTTATAAACCTTTTGCAGAAAATCTCTAAGGATTTCAAACCAGTAATTTATTGTAGTTTTGTGGTAAATCTAATTAAGGATATTGTTACACCGCACGCCTTGCATCATAACGTTGTATATTCTTGTGAGCCTTTGGTGTTCATAAGGTCAACCTGGTCTGGCCAATTTTACTTGTAATTATCGCATATTGATAATTAAATGACAATAATAAGCAAAAATTAGTTATTTGGTAATCTGGAAAAAGTAATACGTGAAGAGCTTAGAACCGCATGAAAAACATATTTTTTGCTGTTTACACTATATACTCTAGTTTTAATCCAGTGACAGAGTAGTTACTTTCTAATGTAGATAATGCATCGTTCATTCATAAATTGCCCAGACGGCAATTATATACAAATTTTTCAAAATAATCAGCTTATATTTTCTTGGCACCATAATTCCAACTTATCTTATAATGCTGAAGCTTGTTTTTTATCTTCGTACTAAATATTCACAGGCAAATAATGGCTTGTCGTTTTCCTGCCACAAACCCTGCATTCTAGTATTGTGTCAGTACCAAATGAGATGGAAATCCAAATCTTTTACATCTAACGAATGGTATATTGTTTACGGAAGACCACTGGGGTCAGTGAAATAATAAAAAAAATAATTCTGATTATCTCGTAATTACTGAACCTAATTGAATCATTTTTAAAGAGAGACATGGGGTTTAAGGTCATTTTCGGACTAATATACGGTTTAATTCTATTTCAATAATGTTCTTGCGGGCAGGGGTCTTTAGCAGTGGGAGGAAACCGGATGACCCAGAGAAAACCCACGAGGTTGGACGAGGTATTCAGAATATTTTATTATTGGATTGACCCCAATGGTCTCCGTACTTGTTGGAAGATTTCAGGCAATAAAAGCTGATATAATCTTTACCACAAAATTAAAAGAATACAACCGCTTTGAATCGGTTATATTAGAAGCGATGTCCTGCTTCTTGATTTGGACATATTTCTAATTGTTCGGATGGGATGAAAAACCTTAACAGTTGAAATTCGACTAAGCCGTAGCAACTAGGCCGTAGCAACAGCTTTCGGGTAAATTTTCCCTCATAGCACACTATGCCCGTCTTCATTAACCCAGTCGGTCCAGAATTGTAGGACGTTAAATTTCATTTGATTATTTGATACAGTAAATTCAGTTATGGTGTAGAAATAACGTATATTTGTTTCAACGATCATTAAGTCGAAAACTAAACTAACAAACCGTTGCTATGCAAGATAAGCCCACATTTTGCAAGAGATGGGCAGAGAACAAGCTAAGGAAGCGATTTTTCGTACAACCCGGGGCCGTTAGCCAGGATGTTATAGTCCGACATGCGTTAATATCTAAAGAAATCGAGATCCTTGGGTCCACAAACTAAAACGCGATTTTTCGTACAATGAGGAGCCACAATCTAAGAAGTTACAGTCGGATATTCGCAAATATCGACAGGAGCTGATATCTTTGGGTTATAAACAAACACACATTTTAAATTCGGATCAAAATTGTGCCCTTTAAAGTGCCCACAAGCTTAAAACATGATTTTCCGTACAATCAGTGGTCATAGTCCATGAAGTTACGGTCCGATACATGCAAATATCGAAAAATTGTTACCACTAGATTGCCACAACGTATAAGATGCTTTCACATTTGTTTGCGTAACAGAGAGCAGCCATTTTGACGGGAACTTTTCGTTCGATTTTCAAGAAATTCTACCCCTACCATCATTATGGTGTAACGGTGATTATAGTTAAATGGTTTATAAAATCCAAAATGGTCATAATCCACGAAGTTACGGTTCGATACATGCAAATATCGAAAAATTGTTACCACTACAGGGTCACAACGTATAGGATGCTTTTACATTTTTTGCGTAACCGAGAGCAGCCATTTTGACGGGAAGTCTTCTTTCCATTTTCAAGAAATTCTACCCCAACCATCATTATGGTGTAACGATGATTATAGTTAAATGGTTTATAAAATCCAAAATATTGTGACCTCTTGACGGTCCACAAGCTAAAAAACGTCATTTTTCGTTTCGTATAATCAGGGGACATAATACCGGAAGTTACGGTCCGATGCGTGGCAAAAGCTATTGGAATTGATATCTTTGTGTAATAAACATACATTTAAAGTTTCATCAAAATCAGATAAAACAGTGACCTCTAGAATGTCAACAAGTTAAAAACGTTATTGTTCGTAAAACCAGGGCTATAATCCATGAAGTTACGGTCTGATACCTGTCAATATCGAAAGGAACCGCGATCTTTAGGATATAAACCTATATTTCACGTTTCGTTAAAATCGAATAAAAATTGTGTCCTGTAGAGGGTCCACACCCAAACTGAACAGACAGACACACGGACGGACATGAACGATGGCATAATACGTCCACATGAAAATGTGGACATATAAAATAAGTAACATAATGCTTCCGTAAAACGATGATTTAATCGCATAGAGCCTACAGTTTCACCAATTAACATTACAAATCAGATGCTATCAGTCGACATTTAGTTTTTTTTTATACATAAGCTTGCTTTAATTCCAAATTTCTAAAACTGCCTTTGCACACTATACGCGTGCTTGGTTCATTTCAAGAAATCGATAAATTTCCTAACTGTTTAATGAACATAATGGGTGTGTGTAATAATATTATGACCTTGACTAATTATTGTTTAGACAAGCCAAACAACACGTGAAACGACGGAAATCTGTGATATTATGATACATGAATCGAACTATAGGTATTTAGGACTGTGGCCAGTCTATGCCGTAAACCAATGAGCGGTGTAAGCAACATAACAGAGAGTGGTGGGGGGGGGTAGCTTTCGCCAAAACTCATACAGCCTGTCATATCAGCCATATACTTATTTGAGAACGAGGAAGATTTTTGACTAAGACTTGCTTCTAGTTAATTCAAAAAAATATTAAAAGAAACCAACCGTAGTTGTAGTTTTAGTCAAGGAAGAGAATACAATGTGAACATTAAAGACCCAGTAGTGCTACATGTACTATACATTGATATGGTCCGTGTTCTTAGAGAAAGAGATGGAAATCGATGTATGTAGAGTCACCAAAACTTTAGGCCCACATCAACAATCATGTAAACAATAAAGGGATTTGTTAATGGGAATTCTAAATTAATTCCGTAAGAGCCATCGTTTGATATGGTTTTATTTAGATATGTCGATAACTTCGTTACAGTGTTCGGTGCTTTGTATTTGATTGACAGTCACAGATAACAAATAACATGATATATATTATCTTTGTTGTTATTGAAACTTTGTATCATTAGATTACCGATAAGATTCAGAAGCCCAATGGAGCAACAGATTTAAAGCTACTCGATTTGATACACTTGGGCACTTGGACATGACCTCTGGTTGAAATTGCTACGAAAGGAGGCGGATAAATGGAGGTTTGGTCGACCCCCACTCCTCACAAGTCAAAATAATAAAATTACATTGATCGGTGTCTGGAATGGTCGAAGAGATTCCCCTGAAGTTATTTAATTCCAAGCTTCTGTCACCCCAACATCCCAAACAGTTAAATCTAGCACCGACGGCATTAAAACAAACATGGGATAAAAGCTCCGTTAACTTCCGTGCCAGCTTTATTTCTTTAGAATTGTTACTGCTTCGTTGTATTAAGTATCTGTATATTTGTCCACATTCTGGACTGTCTGTGGTTTCTTATTGTATTGTTGTATATTGCTAAAAATGATGTATGATGCACTATTAAATACAAAATGATGGTCATCTGAGTTTCCATGCATTAAAAGGCGATGTGTACATTACCCTGCATTTGCGATATTAATAGAGCTGGTTTCTGGACTTATTTAAGGGGAACGTTAGATATTTCCTATCACCAGGAAAATAAAATAGATACAAGTTATCATAGACAAATTATTAATATATTGATATCCAAATCATAAGTAACTAACAAAATTCAAATATTCCATATTAAATCTAATAGTAATAGTGACGCGCATGCCATATACCGTACATGCTACACTTATATGGTCATACGATAAAAATAAATTATTTGAAACTATAATTTTCGATCGATTTAGGTTGGGAATATTTTAATCAATGCAACATGTCACAGATTATTAATCATTGTGCTTTCAAAGTACGTGATTCATTTTTAGATATTCTTAAAACAAACACTGTAAACAAAGTAGAATCACACAACAAAACACATAAAAATCAAACGACCAAATAATATAGTTATGCTCAGAGGTACAATAAAACCCATATTCCCAAAGAAGACCGGCAAACAGACTCAAAGCGAAAGTATTGACATTATGTAAGCTGAAAAAAAAAATATACCATGTAGCTACATTATGATAAATCTCCAATTGTAAAATAAAATATCGTAAATTTAAATTTAGGTCCCAAAGCACTTTCAATTAAAGGTGTTTTCTACAAAAACAGTAATCTAGGGGCGGAATCGATTTTAAATGCATTACACAATATCACTGGATGCCTGAAATTGCGTTATATATCTATCTTCATAGATATTACCTAGAACTCTAGGAGTTTTAATGGAATTAAACTAATGCCCCCGTCAGACCGGGGTGTCGCCCATACTGCACTGCTGCGATCGTACGGCGACCAGAAAATGCACAAGGTCGCCGCAAACGTGAACACAACAAGAGAAAATGTCCCAAAAATTACAAACTTTGAAAAAGACGCGCTCTCACAGCATTTAGCACGCTTATGGCCATCTTGAAGCGTTCTGAGACCATTTTCCATCGCCTTAGCAGCGCTGTAAAGACGGGGGTATAACAGTTTATTGTTTTTCCTGTTGTGAATTTATAACAAGAATCAAACTAACTGTAGTTTGGCAGACAATAATCATTGATATATGGATTATTGTTACAGATATGTTTGGCTTAATATAGTTTATAATTATATCTAATCGTGATCAAAAGTCAACCTCAACACATCTATGTTTTATCTTTTTTCACTGTAAAATAAGAGAAAAAATGTGTCCTTGATACAGTAATAAATCGATCTCTAGTTCGGGGTTCAGTAAAATCTGATTTCCTTTTAAGCGATATTAACTAGACGAGCTGAAAAGTCGATTAAAACAGGAAAATGGCTTTCGTACAATGCCTCCGTAGCTTTTGTCATTATAGTGGAGAAATGTTAGAGTATTAACTGCCATTACAGGAAAAGTACAATAAAAAATCGCTTTACAGCCTATAAGGTGGTCAATCACACAATTTCTATTTTAAGAATATCATTTTGACGAGTTTCTGGAATCGATGTTTTGGTTGAGGTTCTTAATCATGTACTAAATTGTTATAGAGCCCACAAACATGTTCAACTATTTCTAGTTAACATTCCACGTAGTTCCTTGTCCTGCTTTTAATTTTGGTTCCTTTAAAAGCTGATGCCCCGAGGCCACAATGGTGACGTGGTTGGTTCATATTCTCGGCTGAAAATATCTTTACCATTTTAATACCCTTTAATTTAATCTATCCTCCAAGGACAAGCAAACAAAGTCATCATAGGGTAAGAGTTGTAGTCATGTGTTCATCATTTGCAAAGGTGTGTAATACTGCCGTATCAACATATGTGCGTAATGCCTATATTCTTGTCTAGTTAAAATTACAAAATTAACCCCATTAAACCTATTGATTCGTTCGGCACAAATATGTGTCCAGTCTGTTAGCATCTTCGATATACATCATTCTTACATTTATTATTTCTCCCTGAACTAGTTTATTTGTTCGTGGTGTAATTCGAGTCTGCTTTACATCATGGTCGCGGTGTGTTGTTATTTGTTGACAACGTCTGCTGCACAAAATTTAATTGCGCCAATAGGCAGAACAAACTGACATATTGTTGACGCTGTAAAAATGTCCTATTATTATTACTATTATAATATATTATTTATAAACAGATCATCTCTATGATCCTTAAGGTTGATTTAAAGCAAATGTGCTAGTGACAGAAGTCTTACAACATATATGACCGTCAAAATATATAGTCAGCAAAATTTCGTTTTCTCTGATTTTATTAACCATTGACATATATGACATGAAAGATAATGTACAATCGAACTACCAGCTAATTAGATACCTTTACAATGGAACTGTCCTCAATGTACCTTAGTTCTTTGTGACATTTGCAGACAAACAGTCCAGCAATACCGGTATATGTTGGCTTTTGTATTGTCTGGTCCCTGGCATTAACAGAGAAATGTTTCCACCACTATACAGATTAGTTGGTTAGAATAGCGGCTAATCCGCCTTTTCTCAATGGAAAGGTTGTGTCCTTTCATTGTAATGGCGTTTAGCTCATGATATTTGCAAGCGTAGATCTGCCATAGCTCCGTGTGTAAGACGCACTAAATCCTTATGTTGTATTTTTTATTCCGAGTATCAATGGTTGTTTTTTCATATGAATAAAAACACAACTTGTTATTGTGAGTCAATCACGGGGTATTAACTCAACTGACTCGCATGCTTGACTACGGAAAATGTCAGGTTTTTTTTTCCTTTCTTGAGCATCAATCAAGATACGAAAGTACGTTTTATCTCGGCTTGTCCTTATGGCAAAAAAGCCCTTTAGCAAGATAATTATACGTCAACTGCGTAACGATTGTATTGTTCAATTATTGACTTCTATTGAGTGAGAACAATTAGGTCTGGAAGGGTTGCTATGACATTAAATTCCATTATATTAGGATTTTAAGAAATATCATTGTCCTGGAGACAAAATTACAACTAAGACCTAGTTAAAATTATAGCTTTGTCCTATTGTCTACTCCTTTACAATACGTAACACAGTTTTTTTGCCTTATTTATATTTTGACTGGAGTAAATCGGCAGTTCCTGTAGAGAGTGCAATATGAACTTGGCTTTTAAAAAAAAAACCACAATAGTTTTGCCAATGGGGTTGATTTCCCCCTCAGTATGATTATTCTGAAAATTGTTTTTTGCACGCGAATGATAATCATTTATGTTTTTCTTCATTTTATATTTCAGCCTTTGGTTCGGCAAACATCGGTGACATCAATTCAAGAGGACAACCTCGGAAATTTACATTTTAGTTTAGAATATAATAAAGAAACTTTAATCTTGACTGTTCGTTTAATACAAGCTCAGGACTTGGTGCCCAGGGACTGTAGTAGTACGTTAGACCCCTATTGCAAGGTGTCGTTGCTTCCCGATCGCCGAGGGGACTTACAAAGTAAAATTCATCGTAAAACATTAAACCCTATATTTGAGGAGGATCTAATGTTCGAGATTGGTGCTAATAAACTTCCATCCACCGTTCTGGAAATCTTAGTGTACGACTATGATCAGTTCTCACAAGATGAGTGTATTGGACAGCTTCGGGTTTATTTGGATAGTTTGGATTTAAGTGAAAAAATCATTTTATGGAAAGGATTACTACCTCCCGACAAACCAAAAGATGTAAGGAATATTCTTATTAATTTCATTTCAATAGTTCACCAGAAGAATATAACCACGTACATTTATACCGTTTCCATCAATCTGTTATTAAAGATACCATTCCCCTTCTCGGAAAAATATCTGATCTAAATTACTTGAGCACTCTATCAGATGTTTATCTTAAGATGTTGGCGTTCTATTTATAGCCATGGAAATACATCCCTTTTATCACTAAGAACCAAGATCCTAATAGCTCAAAACCTTGTTTGAATAACGTCTTTATCTGTCATTTCAGCATGAAGACCTAGGCGATATAATGTTTTCAATGTCCTATCTACAAAGTGCTGAAAGGCTGACGGTCGCTGTGACAAAGGCTAGAAATTTACGACATCCTGAGGATGGCAAGTTATCGTTAGGTAAGGTGATACTAAAAAAACCACATTGATTTACTACTAGTATTGACATGATGTATATTCTTTTTCTGGATGCATGGGAACTGTGTGCGATATTCATGTTATTGGTAATAGTCGTTTCTTATACATTAATATATACAAATAAAACGAAATGATTAACTGCTCACTTTTCTGTACCAACCGGGTAATAAAGACGGGCATATGCCATACGTACACGAGACCTCCAATCGACTAGATGCTTAGTCCTACCAGATTCTCAGTCACCACTAACAACGGAAAACCAGACTGGAACTTTCTCTGCCAACATCGATATTAAAAACGGTTGAAAATGGTAAGTGAGCCAGCGTCATACTCACCGAGCCGTGGCGACTTCTTGATTATACAAACAGCAATTTTGGAACAAAAAGGAGCATGACTAGCCTAGACATTGTTGAGCATATATATGAGAAACAAACGCACTTTTGTCATTTGCGGTAGAGGAGTTGACAGTTTAACTAAACCAATTCGCTTTGTGTGTGCCATTAATACGGCTACGGGTTTGATCACAAAATTGTGATTAAAAATGCATTATGTAAGATTTAGATAAAGAGCTAGCCGTTCTTGCTATAATTGTTCAAAAATAGATAATGCGAAATGAATATATTACAAATAAATTCATTTAAATTACTTTATTCTGAGCGAAGTTATCGCTGTATATAGTTTTGACAAGATATTGATTGTTTAGTATCGTAACAACGGTACTGGTTATTTGAATCTTGGCCTAGCTTCTACGTTTTTAAATTAAATCATTAAAAGGCCAAATCGGTCTAATCGACTTAAAATCGGAGCAATCCGATGGCCTAAAGAGTTGATTATGGAATTACTGTGTTAATAAGGTCTAATTAATAATATATATAAGATTTAAGACCCAAAGAAAGACTTGCAGTAGTCATATTTTGCTCTTGAATAATCATCTTTAACAAAGGTTATGGTCGCCAACCTATGCGATCTATGTAGTAATGGGCTCGATTGCACTTAGACATAAAGATGATTTAACTACTTAAACCCGCAGCTTTTCTACGAATTTTCCGACCTCATGGCAGCGAGAAGATTCCCGAAAACACGCTAATAAAAAAAATAAAAAAATAACACAAGCTCCAATCCAAACCGATAAGTCTGTTGTATTGACATTCCTTCATTGTTTAGTTATTTCTGAAGGCTTGTTAAAAATATGGATTTCTGTTGTAAGCTTTACGTCTGGACGACAGTGATTGACATGATGACATTGACAAAGGACATTTTTGACGGGATAATTGTCAATATTTCAATGGAACTATAATTGCATACAAGAAATTATTTTCAAAAGTTAAATAGTTAAATCAAAGCATGTGATTCGGCTACCGATTCTCTCCTATCCTCACATTGTATATGTCAATATGGTACTAATAATATTCTTTTTAAACTTTGACAATTATTTCAAAGTATTGAAAAAAGGACCGACAATACATTATGTTATAGATATGCATATTCTACACATCGTATCCAAATTTTAAAATATTTCATAACAATTTGACAAAATTAAGCCCTAGTGAAATCGACAAATAACATAATTATCTTAATCATCCGTCACTATTTGCAATACTTCTGACGATTTTGACAAAATAAAACGCCGTTGTCGGTGCTTAGTAGGGCCCCAATTATATACTACTTCAATATTTAAAATTAATATAATCACTATGGTTATTGGAGGTTATATCAGATAACAGAAGACTTTTAGCTATACAAATTATGCGGAATCAAATGCTGACTTGTCTATGAGAACACGTAAGTAATGTAAGAAATGAAACTATATGTATTCAACCTCAGGGTTAATGAGAAGACTAATGAATAAAATTTGATACCACCTGTCGATACCACCTGCGAACAGTGTTGGATCCCTGTATATATTCCTATTTACATTGATATGATTTTCTTAATCATTATCTCCTAATGGCTGCTTCGGGTTATCACATAACTCTGAACAATACACTTCGATCCAATTTTATAAAGACAAATGTGTAGACACTGAACTTCCATTGTTATGGCCATTACGCGTCGAATAATGTACAGCAGCGAATGGATTGATCTCGTTATCGCCAATGGTTGACTTTCGTTTTAAAGTATTACTTTATGCAACATTAAAGAATAAAATAGAATGGAGATATTGTGTCATTATATGTGCAATTTGAGAGAAATGACAAAAAATGACAGATCCCAATTCGAACGCTGAGCATTCTAGTCTAGTGCCCTACACCTCGATTACATCAGTCTCCGATGTTAATAAATGATTAAAACAATTATCAGTAGACAAATAGTTTTTTTTGTCTCAGAAGATGATACTTTATTTTATTATCTTTTGTAAATAGTCAACCAAGAGACTGAACTATCATTGAATGTATTCAAATTTTGAAGATTAATTAGACACTAGTTTGTGCTTCCCATTTTATCACTCTGGTATTCTGACCAGCTTCTACTCATCCTCTTCATTAGTCTATCATTTGCCTTTTAATTTCATCCTAATTGCTGTTTCAATCATGAAGTGGAAGAATCGCTGTTGGAAATTGAGGACCATAATGAACAGTTCTGTCAGAACAATTTTTCCACTAATGCCAACAATGAAGATAGGATGTCAGCAATGGGATGCGGGACTGAAAGCAGGACAATAAATTGTTTACTGAAGTAATTTGATTTTTGAAACTAGATTTTCGAGATGACGTCCAATTTATATTTGATTGGAAATCAGTGATTCGATGCTTGGTAACTCCATTTATCATGAGGAAAGCAGGTTTATTATTGTAGCCATTAATTGTTTTAGTCACTTAATAGTTGTATATGGCCTTTTGGCAAACGGTAGGATGCCCGTTATATGATACATACGAGTAACTTTGGATATTTAAACGCGGTGCATCGTGTAATATAGCTTGATCATAAAGGTGCCTCGTTAGTTGAAAGGCATTAATGTACTCTATTTATAGCTTATGGTCTAATAAAATAAGCACGGCATCATGCTTCAGTCGGTTCTTTGACAACAAACCAATGGCATGGCAGGCTATTGATGACAAGATTTCCATCTTAAACTAAAACAGATGCAGCTAATACTATTTTGGAGTCATGTTCTGAATGACATTTCACTTTAGATCTGTCATTGACATTCAATGCTTTTGTTCAGTTTGTTTTGTCCATATTTTTCTTTGTTTCACATAGTGCAGTTTCAAGTTAAAAACGGTTGAGCCCTGAAATATACCATATAAACAAGAAGATACCATGCAAACTATCATCGTGGGGGTCTTTAGGGCACCTTTTATCCCCACATTTAAGGTGACTCTTACGAATATCTCGCCCCAGTTCTTGTCTTCAAGAAGCATTATTTTACGAGTTAGCCCCACTAAAAAAATAATATTAGCCTCACTAAAGAAATGATATAAATGTTGTTTTAAAGTTTGCTTGGAACCTAAGAGTATTCATTATTTTGAATTAATAATTTTTGCTTTGTCCAGTTGATGTATCTCTTGTAGTGGATTCCAAATATTATTACAAAAGTAATCAATCTCGTTGAAATCATAATACGATAATGATGAATAGTACTTAATTATTTTTGAAATGGTCACCATTCAATTATTTATCCAAAGCTAGCAATTCTAATACTATTCCCAAATGTACTATTATAAACTGGAACATTCTTGTCATAATTTTGATTATTTCTCGGCTTTACTTCACGATTAATAAATCATATACAAAGGGTAAAGTCGACGTAGCCTATTGACTGACATAAAGCCCGGGGGAGGGCACCGGGATGACTGGACACTGGTAATCATAGAAATAGGATGATTAAGGCTGGAAATTCCCGAATATATCATGGTAGACAATGGTTATACAGACATTCAATATATTCTTGGGATTGCCATGAATTGAATTACAAACTTTGAATGTACCATGGAATTAATCCAGATAGTGATTAAGTGACCGAAGGATGCTACAGGTCACAGTTCATAACCCTATATGCGCGATACTAAAGCCAATGGAGTTTAATGGATTAATTGGTAACAATAAATAATGCCACGGTTGATCAAATTTCCTGATTTCTGCCCAAAAGTACATTAAGCTGGGCATTAATACAAATAATGTATGTCTCTATTGTGTTCTTATTGCCTTTTAAGAAATTAAACTTTGCGATATTCCACTGAAGTTCAGTACACTGCTCTGCATCGAGTTGCAAATCAGTTTATCTTGTTTGTGGGCTTTCGTTAATGTTTTACCGAATAATGGGCCTCTGTTTAATAAAAGTCAGTGAAAATTCTGTTTTCTGGAGGTTAAACTTTGGGGTGTCTGGTTGAAGTTTGGTACATTGCTGTATATAGCTTTTTTTCGTGTTAACATTTTTACTGAATATGTACTGGACTTCAAATACCTGAAATTATTTGAGACATTTGATTGAAGATTGTCATGCTACGGTACTTAACCAAGGCACAGATAAAGTTCTAGGCTTGTATGTTTCGAATTATAACCCTTTGTTGACTTAAAATCAATGACAATTCTGTTTTCCGGAATTTGTAAGTCTTCACCTTGAGGTTATTCTTTCGGTGTGAGAGGATCTTTGACGGGCACAGTTTGAGTCTCCAAATTTAAAGTAGACCTATAATTGTTTGCAGAGGACCGATGATGCTTCTTCTCTTAGTATACATTCGATGTTGCCACAATTTTTAGTCACGATTTTTCTTCGCTAATTTTCAATGTTCTTCCAGATTCAGCTATATTAAACTATATTTTGACTTTATATAGTAAGTAGAAAATCGAAAATAATTTTTAAATTAGAAAAACTGTATAACTTGGCATAGATGATATTTATATCACACATACGATTTCCTTGATGTCATGTTAGTATCTTTGACTTCTGGTCATTATAGGATCACGGATACATAAGTTGTAAAAATAATTTATTTCAAAAGTGTGCAAGGCCACACGAGCCATATTGCAATGCAGTGAAATCAGTGACATTGCAAACGTAACAATGAAAAAAAACACAATCTTTTATTGACCTCAAAATGATATAAGTATTTCGTTAAAGATGCATTCAGCTCGGTTCCTTTTCTTGTTCCATGCCAAAAATGTTACGGCCTATTGAGTTAATTCTATGTTTCGATATTTATGCTATGGAACATATATTTTGCTAAAAATCAGATAGTTTTGTACCAAAAGAAATATTAGATAATCGAGTGGCGGAAAGAATACATTACTGTCAAGTCACGATACTTGACTTAGTTAATTACTTAAACTTTTATCGGCGCACGAACAGCATCTATAAAATCTATGAAACACGATTCACCAATTAAACTTATCATTGTTTTATGATTTTAGTCAAATAAAACCCCGCTAGATGACCTTTGATTGACAAGTTGACATTTATTGATGGTGGCACTGATTTCATTAGAGAGTAGTGTCACATGTCACACGCTGCTGAAGGAGTAATCATATTAATAAAATTAATTAGTACATAGATGTACATGTATATCTATTAAATATATCAATAATACATATTCTCAATTCACTGATTGGTTTGTTCTGTGGATGGACGTTATCTCTTTGACATTTACAGAAAACGAAATAAAATTGAATATGATTTGTAATCCATATCCACTCCATTGTAAACTCGTGATTAAATCGCCCAAGTTAAATCAATTTTCTCTGTTTACAAAAAGCTTATAAATGGCATCATGGTTATGCTAACTGCAAAGGTGCAACCGTTGACAGATACAGGAAAGAACTTTGGGTGGGAATGATTACTATTTTAATTATGTGTGTTGAATTTGAATTAATCAATCGGTTTTCTTTACCGTTCACATCTCTTCAACGATCGAAGTAATGATAAAGTAAAATGCCTGCTATATGAACATGTTATAAGTAGCAAGTGAACACGGAATATCTTTAATTTCCTACATGTAATTGAATAAGTACGGTACCATCCATTCAAACGAATCCTCCCAAAAACATAATTCAATTTCTTATAAGACAGATATTTGTTAGAGTACGACATGGTCATGGTGTATGGTGGCATAGCGAAGTTATATTCGTTGTAGCTTTAATTTTAATTTTACTCGATATAACTATATCCCTATGGGAAATTCGGCGAAAAATAAAGTCTCCTTCCAAAATAGATAATCAGTGTTGGAGTTCAATGGCATAAGCATCGGAACAAGTCAAACTGACAAATGTCACAATGACTATTGCACCATTTGTTCCGTAAAAAAAAATCAGATTTTGCATCATGTAAGGAATGAAAACCTATTTAATCTATGGTTGTCTAGTAACACATCTTTCACAATGCACCCAAACTATGACAATTCTTAATTTTGACGATGTAGATTGATTAACTTATTGATTCTTTTATCTTTACAGATCCATATACCAAAGTTACATTAATTTTACCCAATAAAAAGGCAAAGAAGAAGAAAACGAGCACATCACATATCAATTGTAACCCGGAGTGGAATGAAGCACTTGTTTTTAATTTACCGAACGAATCACTAGACACTATATGCATTGATATTGCCGTGTTTCACGATAATAAAATAGGCAATGATGAGTTACTTGGGCGAGTGAAATTAACATCTGAATCAGACGGGGATGAGAAAGCTCATTGGCAGGATTTGGTGGATTCTAAATGTGCTATGGCGCGATGGCACCATCTGTCCTGACATAAGGTTGGTGACTGTGACGACAAATCTGATACACCTATGTGTTGGTAAAGTTTCGTCAGTGGAAACATAAGTTCCTGGGCACCTTGGTCATTCTCTCTCAAAATAAGCACTTGTTTCACACAAAGCTGTATGATAAAGTAAGGTAACACAAACACACAAAACGTAGTAAACTTATAATCGACACGATAAGTGATTATCAGGTTAATGAATGAGGGATTAGATTAAAAAGATTGTATTAAAATAACCCACGGGCCGTTGAAGAACCGTGCGTAAATAGCTTTGTGAACATTGGCAATTCTAGAAATTGATCTTTTAATTTTCGACAACGTCAACCCTATGTACCCTAATAATAAGGTGATATCAATGGTAAGTTGATAAATACCTAAGATATCTTAGTTAATGTATTCAGAGAGCTACAAGAACACTAATAATTTAACATTTTGTAAGTTTGATTTTTTTCCCATTTTGATTACACTAGGGATTGATGGTATCGTCTCTATAAACAAGTAGTTAGAAAAATTATTGGGTCGTGCAATTCCTAATGGATATGTTTCATATGGTCGTAAGTTATTATCCATATTCTTATCTATATTACGATAATAGCCACAGAAGCCAATTAAAGATAATTAGACTTCCGTTATTAAGAGGACCTGCGAGCACATATTTCCCCTGAATTATCTCACTAAATTATCGGACACCATAATCATATTATATATCTCCAAAAGCTAAACAACCGTGGCTTCTAGATTTATGAAAACTAATACCAATAATTGATCACTTAATTTTGTTCATAAATCTGAAAAGAAGTGCCAAAATCAAACTGGCAGTCGATAATGTCTGATATACGAATACAGCACTAGTAATGCAGCTTTCGTATATAATTTATTCGCTAATTCTCGAAAACTTGAAAAAGAGATCGAGGATTAACCCGTTTAATAAACTTTAAAAGTTTGTGGGTTTGTTTATTAGATTTAACTAGAGATTATTTAGAAAGAGAAACCGGGGTTTTCAGGAACTTGGCTAATCAAAGTAGTTAGTTTAAAAGCACTCCTGAAAGTATCCCAGTCCTAGAGATCAAGAGCATCAATAACAGGGCTTTGGGTTGTGCGTGGATGTTAGATCCTGGATTGTCTGGAAACTCTATTAACAAGTTTTGTGTCGCAGTCACTAGATTTATTTTTAATACTTTTTTTGAACCCAGTGTACACGGGTTCCTTATTTTTAATGGGAAACACTACTCACAGATCTGTAAATATGGTGGAAAGTCGTATACAAATATATTGTGTAATTTAAGCCTGTTCTGTTTACAGAATAAGTATTGACATAAACAGTACGGAACAAACTGTTGATGATATAAATGGCACGGAATAAGCCGATGATATAAACATCACCGAATAAGCTGTTGATACAAATAGTATGGGAAAGGCTGTTGATATAAACAGTACGGAATAATATTATACTTCAACCGTCAATTATTTGAGAACTATTCACTTTGAAGTGAATAATATAGAGCATCGATAATTTGTATAATCAGGTAGTCTGATATCCATCAAATACGACATCCAAATACGACTAAAAGCTGTCCACTACCGGGACGTTGAATCACTTATTAATTAAGATAACTAATCATTGTAATATATTTTGTCCTCTCTGTATATTTCGCACGGTATATTTTCGTGTATGGAAACCCTAAATAAGTGATAAATTGTCTTTATATAAGTGGGCGCACCTATTGGGTTAAAACGTTTGTGTGCACTGGCAGTTGGAAATCGATATAAGAGTAGGCGGTGGCGTCGCTGTCCAAGCAAAATTGTCCTCATAGCACACCGCATGGCGTATGTCAATCTTCAATATTGCGGTTGGTGTAGAAAATAAGGACGTTAAACACATTTCATTCCATCTCATAATCTGTTGTGGTGTACTTTTTATATTAAATAAGGGAGATGCCTTTCGCGTTCTGAAACATCATAACAAGTTTGATAATAGAGCTACTTGGCTAGAGACACCAATTACAATAGAAATATATATGATTTCAGTTTTGATTTTCCTAAATACTGGTCATAAGTGCTCATCTTTGGGTTTCAAAATTAAAGAGCAACACTTGAACGCCAAAGCAATTAATATATTCATATTGATAAAATTAAAGCAAATGCAAATTTTATTAGGATTGTAGAGCTGTGCCGACATTTAAAGTTGATTCCATCAAAGATTTTTACTTAAGTGACCATTGATTTGGAGAAGCCGCGTTGGATTTCTCAATCATTGTTCGAATTCGAAGAAGAGATGGCAGCGGTCTGGCAACTCTTTTCGTCGCATTGTGCATATCACAGAAATAAAATTACTTCATATCAGTCTCAAAATGACCAAAGGAAAGTGTCGACAAAGCGTTAAACACCATTCCATTTAACTGTTTGGTTTGCATTGTGGCACCACTGACCACACGTAATTATATAAAGACATACATGTAATTATTTGTAGATATATAATTAACAAGGATATATATTTTGTATATGTATAGTTGTATATTGAACATTGTTAATCTAAGTACAACATTGACCCCCTTTGTCATATCTGTGAATTATGGATTTTTTATATGTAGATAATATATTGTATAAACAACCCCAAAACGTGCACGAATATATTTTATTGTTATATTTTCTATACATGTGTGTTCTTTAATAACCTTTTTTTGTTATTTAGGTATGCATCATTTGGAGGGTTTTTTGTTAATGGATTCGACGCTTTAACACCATCATTTGAGGGAATTTAAAATCATTACTCTTTAGCACCATTTGGAGGGAATTTGTTTTATATCATAACGCTTGAACAACATTAGGAGGGAATTTGTTTTAGATTATAACGCTTTGGCATCATTTATTTTAGATTATAACGTTTTAGTGCCATTAAATTGGGAGGTTTATTTTAGTGAGGGTTACGACATTTTAACACTGTGGGATTTGTTGTTTTATTCCAGCCGTTAATTGCATATTACAACGGATTATTCTTTACAGAAGAAATAACTTTGATATGGTTTAGCTTGTTCTTATTCTCATTACACTTTGGAATGTTTCTCTTTAAACAAAAATATATACGAACAGTTTTAAAATGGCGCGTTGTCTTCATCCAATAAAAAAATAATATTTTTATATAAAAAAACACCTCGCATTATTTTATTTGTTTGAAATTGTCAACTTGAGTCAACATTTATTAAATATATAATTCCTATCTTCCGACTTCTTACACTAGGGTAAGTGCTTAACGCTGTGGGTGAATCGATGGGGATTATTTTTAATTCCTTTAATACCTATACAGCTAATCGAATCTGTCCTAAATGATTTTCTGAAATTATAATTACATGTTTCCTTAGTTTGGGTCTTTTCCAGATTTTATATTTGCGTATTATTCTTTCTAATCTGTGAAATAGCTATTATCTGTATTATGTCAAATGTCAAGTTAAATAAAATTTGGCAAATCATTTCACGGTGTTGTGTTATTTAATTAAATATCTCCACGATTTTCGTAATATGGAATAGCCAGTGAACAATACTTCTTATTTTATTAATTGTTACATTTGTTTTATTCTCTAAGACTGTAAAATAAAGTTTAATGTTTGGCTTTCATTTTTTTTAAACTGTGCTTGTTATTTATTTTCGCTATTCATTGAATTCATTGAATTGTTAGTTGTATCTAGTCTACCCATATTTGGACACGAATCAGCGTATGCTTACTCCTGCCAGAATATCCAATACCACTTCCCATAGCTAAACGGAGTGATGGTTTAACATTGTATTCAGAAACTCAAAACATTGGGGTGGCATTCATTTGAAAAAATAAAATTCCATAGTGAATATTATTAAAATTATACCCTTATCAATTCTAAATTTGTCTAGACATAAGAAAATATCTTTTATAACAAAGGTTAAATAGTGAAAACTAGAACTAAAAGATTTATAATTGGATTGTCTAGAGGGAAAAATGATAAAAAAAAATTAATGTTGTTAGTTCAAGGATTTTTGGTACTTCCAGACTTTTTACAAGTCATAAAAGGCGTAATGTTTGTCATTTCTACTGACATTAAATCCTGTTACTGGTCTGTAATAATGCTGTGGGTCTGACATTCGAAAATGACTACATAATTTTTCCAGAAGCCAATCGTATATATATAACTAATCCATATAGACGTTGGTTGTTATCCGAAGAAAAGATATCATAGGCCTTCTGCAAGACATTATTGTTAGCATATGCGGTTGTGGAATATTTATTCTAAATGGGTCTGGAAACTGTTGAAGAACCCTTTAAATACAGGTAAAAAATATTCCCCCAAGTAGTAACACATTATCATGCACGCTGTGGAGTATGCTTACATCTTCTAGAACGCCTAATCACCATTTTCATTTGAGGAACGCACAGCTAAAACATGTTAGTCGTTCTTTTGTATTATTTTACTGGATGGATATGGTGTCCCAACGGCTAGAGTATTATATTAACACACTTTGGTTGGCCGTTACTGAGGGCACTAAAGAGAAAATTCAGCCAAGTTGCTCAAAGACAGGATGAGCTGTTTAATTTATATCAATAGAATAATAATAGCTTTAACTAATGATGTCATCTTGTTGTGGATCACGAACCTAGCAAAGTTGTTTGTTATCCACCAAGAAATAGACTACTACCGTGTTCGTATAAGTGTGGAAACTATCATATATATGCGATTAGATGTTGGGGCGATTATATAATCCGTGCCCTATAAAAAACCCGATTATGATGGTTTATAAAACTAGCCGAAAAGTTGACATAGAGTGTGATATGGATGGAACGAATATTGTAAAGTAGGGGGTTATCCGTCTTACATTGAATTATGTTAAGATAGGGCTGATCAAGACGGGCATACGCCATACAGTGTGATATGAAGGAAATCGTGCCCGGACTCAAGTTGAATTTCTAGTATCAAGGGTCCTTTTACTTGCACGCCAACGTGTACACGAGGCCTCGGTTTTCATACAATCCGAACAACTAGACGCCGTTCCTTACCTGGCCCTCCCCCTGCACCACTTACAAGAAGGGGAGTGACGGTGGGTGGGTGGGGGGGGGGCGAAACCACGCTGGAAAAATCCCAGGAAACTTACTCGGCAAACACAGTGTTCGAACCCATGTACGGAGAGGAATTTGAACAGTAACCAATTATTTTATATGATTCGATTCGCTTAACAATTTTTAGAATGCCCCATTCCTAAATTGATCAACGTAAAGTTCGAAATGCCCAACCTTTCTCGAGCCTATGATAGCTATTTATTACAGATGTAGACCAGAAAATATTCCCCATATTAATGGCCTAAAATATGTCAGAAGCCCAGAATGTCAAATATTTCGGACTGCCTAAAACCTTGGCCTGAAATAACATAAATCAGTATTTTCCCGACATGAACTAAAGCTGTCTGTAGAAATGGAAAGTGGGTATAATAATCATCCCCGAAATCAAGAACTATAACGGTTGTTATGAACAGTTCCATTGGAAGCAAGCGCGTCTGTCCGTACATAATTACCTCTGTCACGGAATTCATTATTTAACAAACTGAAATAAGGTGAAATTAACATATTGTTTGACACGATTCCGTCCAGCTTGGGAATTGCCACGTTAGTTTCTTTTCTGGTTAAAACTGATCTCTCCAAACGCGCTGTACCTAGCTTAACTAGTAGCAATTTTCGTTTGATAAATATAACACTCATGTACGAAATGAAATGAAATGGGGTTTAGCGTCCTACTGTTCTGCTCCGACTGTAATGCAAACGGGAATACGCCATGCAGTGTGCTATGCGGAACATTTTGCCAAGGACAGCTGCCCAGGTTCCTTTTACGTGCACGTCCCATCCGAAAGACTATACGTTGTCTCTTACCATGCGTCCCATCTTACATCACTGACAAGGGGGAACCAGGCCGGAAAATTCTGGTGAACTTTCTAGGCTAACGCACTAGTCACAGAGCGACCGTATGGAAGACCAAATTGGACAATATTCATGATTTTTGTTTCTACATTCCAGTTTGAATATTTTAGACATGAACGCAACATTCTAAACTAATGATTCTTGTTTCTACATTCTTATGTCAACATTTCATGCACAAAATCAACATTTTAAACAAAAAATTGACTTTATGTTTCATTTTCGGCGTTTTATCAGAAATGTTTATACATCATTAAATATTAAAATTAAAAAATAATTTCTTAATACACGACAAAGAAATCAATTCATTGGTTTCTGAAAGTATCTAAAAAAAAATCTGGAATTTGAACTCTTATGAAAATATTTTATACATTTCAAAAAGTCTTGAAGTTAAAATCTTGAAATGAAAATGTCCAGAAAAATAATATAATGAATTATCAACATTATTACACCAGAGGGCGTTAGCGTATGTGTACAACTTTGATACAGACTATAGATTAGAAATCAAAAGTAGACTTTTCCACGAGTGGAAGTGGGCCCCTGTTGTGTTTACAGTAATTAGTTGCTTGAAACAGAAATTAAGCCCGAGATATAATAACAATACAAATAACTTCTATAATTTAAACAGCTAAAAAATTTAGGACAAAGGCCTTTCTTTTTGAAACGTAGAAAATATTTTCATAAGAGTTAAAATTCCAGATTTTTTTTAGATACTTTCAGAAACCAATGAATTGATTTCTTTGTGGTGTAAAATTAAGAAATTATTTTTTAATTTTAATATTTAATGATATATAAAAGTTACCGATAAAACGCCGAAAATGAAACATAAAAGTCAATTTTTTGTTTAAAATGTTGATTTTGTGCATGAAATGTTGACATAAGAATGTAGAAACAAGAATCATTAGTTTAGAATGTTGCGTTCGTGTCTAAAATGTTCAAACTAGAATGTAGAAACAAGAATCATGAATATTGTCCCATTTGGTCTTCCATACGACCGTGGCTTCCCAGCTATGTACGACTGGATTGTTATGATCCGATCTATATGATAATATCTTGAAATTTAAAATGATCATTTTTTATCGTCTTACATCTTTCAAGACATAATAATGAAATATTTGGTGGTTTTATTTATATTAGTGCCATCTGAGTCAAGGTCTTGATAGTCATAACAAAGGATTATAGAGCTATCAAAAATCGATGTCAAAATAATAATCTTAATGCAATTCCAGAATGTACTCGATAGAATGCAGACAGTGTTTAGTTTAATACAAATATCTATTATTGGGTGTTATTCTTAAAATCTACAACTGTAGCCGAATAAATGCAAGCAAATGTAAAAAGGACTGTTTGCATAAATGAATTTACTGTAGTTTGTCTAACGCCTTGTTGTTCTTTAGTTCTGTAAGTTGATCTCTATGCGCAGACTACCATTCTACGTTTTGTGTAAATTAAGTCTGATTGCTTTGAACATCTGACACATCATTTGAATGGAATTTATATTAAATTTGTACTTTAATTACAAATTGCCCCTTGTCTTCGACTGTAAAATTGTAAGTTGTTTTATTATAGTTATGCAGGAGGCAGAGTCTCCATACTCTTCGTTACACAGGTGTATATTCTCGATGGAAAATTTAGCAAAAAACTACTTGTTCTGAAAATTTACAAATAAATAACAATCAAAAGTTAGGCTAGTCGTATAAGTAGTCAGATACGCCATTTGCCAGGTTGGTTTCAAGGCACACCATGTTTTAAAGAAACGGACCGTTTTGCCACAGTAAATATTGAACACTTATATCAGAAGATAACGGTGTAAGTCAATAATATATGATTATCAAACCCGGATCGACTTATCGAAGATAAACTCTTGTTACCAACTGTTGCCAGGGAGTGGATATAGTTGATGAAAGTTCGTTCTTGACGACGCGAGTTGGCGGTCTTCGCCACATTATAGTTTCGAAAACACCCCCCATTTCCAAATCTCAGCGTGGGCGGCTAGAGTAAACGAAAACAGCCAATGTGGTCTCACATCATGTAGGCCAACCAGTTTATTAAGTCGCTACACAAGTGAAAACTTGCAACAATGGTTCATGAATGTGTTTTATTGACACATATTTTGTACCACATATTTATGTGATTTTGGTCACCCTACCATGAACATTAAAGATGACACCCAAATGAATACCAAGAAATGAAATGAAATAGCATTTAACATCCCACTTTTCTGCACCGACTGGGATAATGTGGACGGGCTTGTCAACCGGTTTTTTATGTGTAGGTCAATGTCTACACAAAGGGTCTCGGTTTTTGGTCCCACCCGAACGAAACAGTCCTTCCCCAATGACCAGGGGAAACCGCGCCGGAATAACAAGAACACGAACAGAACCGACTTACGTATGTCATGTGACAATGGCTAACGATGTTCTGATT